AATGCCTCTGCTGTCACCAGACAAGAGCAGAGGCCACCCCTCCCATTGTTTCTGCACACATCCCATGGATTCAGCAAACAGCACCTACTCCCTGCCCCACCCAACGGTCTAAGCCCTGAACTCCCCATCCCCTGCCCTAGAGCACATGGAGGCCACCTCCCTGCCATTCAGGGCTACTATCCCTCTGCTTCCTCCATAGCCTTGCTCACCTCACCCAAGTTTCCCTCCACATGTCCTTTCCAGATGCATAACAGACTACACTCCAGCCCTGGGACCAGCCTGTGTCCTGGCCCAGCTGTTTTCCCACCACCATTTGCTGCTTTGGGTGACTTCCAGGAGGGACCCTTATCGGTGAACATCTGCATCCAATTTTTTTGTATAAACATAGGTTGTCCTTTCTCTTGGGTAAATAGGTAGAAGGAGGACTGCTGGATCACATGGTAAGTTATGTATAAGAACCCACTGACCGTATAAGAACCCACTAACCTTCCCCAGTGTCCAAAAGCACACTATTAGATCTCATTGCTCCAGGTCTTCACTGTAAATCGGTGTTGTTAGTCACTGTGGTATCAGCCGATCTGATAGTACTTCAGTGGTGTCTCATTCTGATTTTGATTTGCATCACCCTAATAACTAGTGATGCATCTCTTGCCATCCATAGCTCTTAACTGTCATTAAATCCTTTGCCCATTATTTTAAAATGGAGTGTTTATCTTGTTACTGAATTGTATCTCTTACATATTGCTTTTTGCACCATTTTCACTGAGTCTGAGTCTGGCCTTTTTCTCTCTACAATGGCTTTGAAGAGTTTCTAATTATGATTAAATACATTTATTTATTTGCCAATTTATAATGCTTTTATGGTCTCTGCCTTCCATCCTATATCTGAAATTTTGGGCAAATCCAAATTTACAAAGCTATCCATCTGTTGTTTCTTTCAGAAGTTTTATGGTTTCAGCTCTTATATTTATATCTGTTTTCATATTTCAGGGAACTTTTATATGAAGTGAGGTGGGCACTCAGGTTCAGTTTTACACAAGGATATCTAGTTGTCTGACCTTGAGAAACTTACCCCATAGTATAAGATCACTGAACTCATTTCTCTCTGGACCAAGCTAGTTTTCAAAATGGTTATTAAAATGTGAATGGAACAGAGACAAATGAGGAAGTCTTTCCCACAAATGGTGTTGGGCAAGCACAATATTCACAGCCAAAATGAATGAAGTTGGGTTCCTACCTCATACAACATTACAAAATTAGCTTTAAAAATACACTAAAGACCTAATTTTAAGTACCAAAAATGAAAAACTCTTAGAACTAAAACACAGATATCTCTATGACACCGGGTTAGGCAGTGGTTTTTCAACTATGACACCAAAAGCATAATCAGAAACACAAAACAGATTGGACTTCATCAAAATTAAAAACTCTGTACTTCAAATAACACCATTAAGAAAATAAAAACAAGCCACAGAGGGAGAACATTTTTAAACATTATGTATCTGACAAATGATTTACATCTGAAATATATAAAGGACTATTGCAAATTTATTTTATAAAAAGAATAATGACAAACAATAGGCAAAGGACCCAATAGACAATATTGGAGTACAAATGCCCAATAAGCACATGAGGGAAATGAAAGTCAAAACCACAATGAGATATCACCTCACATCTGCTAATATGGCTATGATTTTTTTTTAAGCATAAAGGTGGGGAATGGATGGCAAAGATGTGGAGAATTCAGTCTCATGCCCTGCTAATGGAATTGTAAGAATAGTGCAGCCACTGTGGGAGACAGTCTGCCATCCTGAAATGGTTACAGAAGTATCACAAGTCTGAGCAGTTCCACCCCTAGGTATATAACCAAGGGAACTGAAATTAGATGTTCACACAAAAACATGTACACAAATGTTCATAGCATAGTTGTTCCCAGTACCAAAAAGTAAAAACCACCCATTAGTTGAATAAAATGTGGTAAATACTCATAAAAGGGAATGTTACTTGGCAGTGGAAAGGAATGGATACAGGTCCCTGCCTTGAAAAGATGCTAAGTGAAAGAAGCCACACACACACACACACACACACACACACACACACACACGCTCCCTCCCCATATAATACTCTACCTGTGTAAAATGACTAGAATAGTGAAATCTTTAGGTAGGAAGTAGACGAATGGTTTCATATGGCTGGAGTCAACAGCTAAGGGTAGGAGATTTCTTTATGGGGTGATGAAAACATTCAGGAATGAAAATGTCATAAGATTGCATTACTTTGAAAATATACTAAAACTCTTATATACAGTGATACCTAAGTTGTCAAACTCAAATCATTCCAATTCATGTTCAAACACCAAAAAGTTCAAGAACTGAACATATTTTTCCCATAATAATGGAAAAGCAAATAACTGGTTCTGAGACCCAAAAATTACACTTATAAATTCATTTTTCCAGGACTTAAACAAATTTTGTAATGATTTCTTCCTTTTACTCTATTGTGGTTCTCATAGTTTTCCTCTTAGCTTTACTGGTATCATTAACTTTCTTTGGAGCCATGGTTACAATATTTTACATAAATAAAGCACCCAAAAAAAGCACAGTGACAAATGTTTTAATGCACTAACTCAAGTGCTCTATGTTTAGCCGAGAGTGGCACTTAGACTTAAGTGTCACCTCTTTGTATCCACAAGACTCACTTTCGGCCCATACAGGTTGTTTTTTAAGTTGGATTTTCAGTTCGGCTAACGAGCGAAGTTGTGCGCACCAAGCAGATATTTTTTAAACTTAACTGTCCGTGTAGTGGAAATTTCTAGCTTGGAGCCATTTGACAACTGAGATATCACTGTACTTGAGTCGGTAAGAATTATTTCTCAGTGTTTTTCAGAAAATCACGAATTAGCCAGACATAATTCATCTTGACTTTACTATCTTTCCAAAGATAAACAGATCTGTGGACACCCACAATGTCCACAGGATCCAAGGTTCCCTTTTCATCAGCCTTGTGGAGGGGAGGTGGCATGGTCATCCTTCTTTAGCACTGCACTGCTCTCCATATAGTTAGGACTCATACCCAGCAGCCACTGCAGCAGCACTATGAGCAGCAGGTGTGATACAGGCTGGATATCAAATTGCCAGTCTCCCCATAGCCACCACTTTTCTATCTGAAACACCAGGAGATTCCTGCAAACTTCCCACATATGGCAAGCAGCTGAGTAAACACCCATCTGAATCATAGCCTCTGTCTTCCTCAGAGGCACTCAGAATGGGCTTCCCTGGGAAGGCTGGGGCCACAAGGGGAAGTGCCAGTGTCTGCTGCTGGTCATTGTGCACAGTGCCCAGCAGGCCACCTCCACAGCGCAGCTTCTGGGTGACATCTGTGGTTGCACGCGAACCGCAGAGCCCTAGTGGTATAGAGAGCAACCCTGGGGCACTAAGAAGAGCCCCGGGTCCAAGACTGTCCTTCAAATGCCTGGACAGGTGCTTTCCAGTTCAGGGTTATAGTTTTCTGATTAAACTTCTTTGTGTGTAGCAAGTTTTCCTGAAGTCTAAAATATATTGCACATGTCTCCCTTATCAAAGTATGTCCATCTTAACATATTGCTTAACATGTTGCTGTTCTATATTTGCGGTACTGGGGATTGACCCAAGGAGCACTGAGCTATATCCCTGGCCCTACTTTTGAGATAAGATTTGGCTAAGTGGAGCAGGCTGGCCTTGAACTTGCCATCCTCCTGCCTCAGCCTCAGAAGTAGCTGAGATTACAAGTGTGCACCACCATACTCAGCTTGATTTGGTCATCTTTTATTAGTGTCACAGCTATACCTAAAATTTATACCTAAAACTTGTAAACGGCTGTCAACATGTGCTGATCCTAAGGGTGACCTCAAGCCCACTATCCCTCAAAGCCACCTGTGCTCCTGTCAGCCTTTAGGAGAGCATTTCTAATTATCAGTGACTGCTACTCTTGGAATCGTCCAGTTGGGCTATTCTATCAGCCTGTGTTTGCTTCCTTCCTACTTTCTTCCGTGCCCTAGAGTGGAGCTCACCACAGGTGAATGACACTGGATAACTGGGGCAGTGTTATTAACCTATCTATAGTCTTCCAGAAACTCACACAAAATTCTTATTTATAGCTTATATAAATTGCTCCAGAAACTTCTGCATATTGAATGTGACTTCTTCCCGTCAGCATTTCTGCTTTTGTCTTGATTGTGAAAACTAAATGGAATATACTTTCCTAGTGGAAACATCTAAGTTAAACCTTCCTTTTGCTCGCCTGGGAAGGCGGAGATCTGCTCCCTGGTGCTTGGAGCTTGAGCCTCAGGCCCCACACTGGAGCCGGCCCAAGCCCCAGCTGTCCCTGGAATCCCATGTGCTGCTGCCAAGCACAGCCTGGAAGCTAAACTGCCACGTTCACACGCTCCCCTTTATGTTCCTTAAACAGTTGTTATTAATTTAGAAGGGACTGAGGTTTAAAAATCAACCAGTACTTTCCACTTAAATAACTTACGTATACATTTTCCCCTCCAAACTGTCTTGCTGGGATTAGTAATTATCTGTAAGCTTACCCCAGACCCACCCCAGGCCTGTGCTGGATGTGCTGTCCCTGTGGTGGCAGCTCCATGCACAGAGTGCTGTGGTGAGGGCTCCCACACTGGCAGCAGCTCCCTGATAGGGGCTGCTTCCTTCAAACTTGTGACATGTCTTTGTCCCCACACAACCTCCTTTGATGGCGCTAAGCTAGTTTGATCCAGCAAGTTATCTGCAGCCCAAGAACATGCTGTTGCCATGTCCCAGCTTGGTCACGTCTTGGGCTGTCTGAGACTGTCCTTCCGGGAGGGTTGCAGATCCTTAGGATCTGGAGTGTGGCCATGGTGGGGCTCACAATGATGTAAGCTTCACCCGATTTTTAGCCAGTACCCCAGAAAAGCATCCCTGTGCTCTGCCACCTCTTGCTCTCCCAATGGCTCTGACTGTGATCATTTCTTCTCCACGCAGGACAAGTACCCAGACATGGTGCATCTCCCAAAGGGGGCCTGTTCCCTCTGCATGGGGATCCGCAGTACCAGCCGTCCAGGGTGAGTCTGTAAAGCAAGGCTTAGCAGTAGAAAGTAAACATAAGCCACCTAATGAAGGCTAAAGATCACCCACTGGAGCAATCAGTGACACCTCCGCAGATATCTAGTGACTGCGGGAGCAGACCAGGCTCTACTCTCCCTGTTACAGGCAAGGGGCAGTGTCTGCAGGGAACATGTGAGGGGGCCGCAGGAGGAAAGTGCCAGTGTGGGGCCAGTGAGTGACAATTGTACCGTGGCTCTTTCAGGGGCCTATGAGGGGCACTGGGAGAAGGCAATGTGTCCTATTACTGAAGACATGGGAAGGCGGAAGCTGGGGTGAGTGCTAGAGCTCCCCCGAGACTCCAGAGATGGAGACATCAGGATCCAGACCCCCCCCGGGGGGGCTCCCTTCCTCAGCTCTGCCCAGAGCCACCACTCTCTTGCCTTACCCTCTGCCTCTGAGAGTGTAGTGTACGCCTGTACATCTGCTTCAGAACCAGTGTATGAACCCTGAGTGTTAAGGTTTCAAGCTGTCACACAGGGTCTTCCTTATGCAGGCTTCTAGGACCTGCCTTTGTCCTGTGGGTTCATTCATTCTCTTTCTGTGTTCTTCGGGTCTAGAGCGCCTCTGTTCTCCACTTTTGGTCCTTTCTTCTGGTGCACAGTCTTCTCTTGGGCTATTACCCAAGAGATGAAATTCCTGCACCATGGAGGTGTTTGTACGTCTCTGTCACAGCCAGACTATCTTAAAAGTGGGTTATCCACTGACATTCCCACCAATGATGCAGAAGTTCCTGTTCCTGTACAGAGCAGCGGCTCACACGGTTCCTGGTCCTGTTCCCACTGTCCTGTGGAACTGACCATGTTTTTTGCCTCTGTGGGCAGTGTCTTTAGGAACACGGAGCCCAGGTAGAGACCAGGTGCTAACAGTACTGCAGACTGCACTTTGTGCATGATGGGAAAGCACTCTATGACTGGGCTACATCCCCAGCCCTTTCTTGATTTTTTAAAATTTTGAGACAGGATCTCACTACTAAATTTCTAAATTGCCCAAGCTGGGCTTGAACTTATGATCGTCCTGCATCAGTCTCCCAAATAGCTGGAAATGAAGGCATGTGCCACCACAGTTGACAAAGTTAATCTTTTAACCAAGTTTCAAAAACCCTTCACCCCCATCCCCCTTTCAGGTTCGAACTGGTGATTGTTTGGAGGATTCAAATAGATGAAGAAGGGAAGGTTTCACCAGTGCTGGATCTTCTTACCAAAATTCCTCAGCGAGGTAGGGTCTCTGGGCATGGATGTCCTTCCCAGCAGACTTCTCAATATGCCCAACAAAGCCACTGTTTATCTGTTTCATTTGGTTTTACACTGGAAGAATCAAAAGTTGAAAATCTTGCTGATGTACTTTGTATATCAGTTTTCAAAATATTTATCAATAAATCATTCAAAAGGCATATGAGAAGGGATCCCCCAACCCCGGGCCTCCTAGGCTGAATGCAGGCAGGAAAGAGCAGTCTCTCCCTAGAACCACGGGTGAGGCCTCTTCCACACCCGCCAGCTGCTCCGGCACCCCCACTTCTGTGTGGCTAGCTGGGAAGGGTGGGTCTTGGTGATACCAGAGGTTTCTTAACTGATTCGTGTTTGCTTCACAGCCCTGGAGCTGGACAAGAACAGAGTCATTGAAACTGCTCCTCTGAGCTTCCGGACCCTGCTAGGAGTGCTTGGAATTGAAGCTGCTGTTGAATGCCTGATAAGACTGCTCCATGCAGGGAATGAGTAGTTCCCAAAGGGTGGACATGAGAAATAGGACACGTCGCTGGGGATTTAGCTCAGTGGCACCGCACCTGCCTTGCAAGTGCAAGGTTCTGAGTTCGATCCCCGGAACCAAAAAGAAAAAAGAAATAGGACACATGCCAAGCACCCTGTGACTCACAGTGTGAACATTTGCTCTGTTCCATGTAGAAGCCACACCCTCAAAAGATGCCACCTGTATAGTTTCAGTACATTAGATAGACACGTATGACATGAAAAATAGCTATTTAACATCCAATAAAAGTGACAGCTACAAAATGTGATGACACGTATAGGTTTTGCTTTTTTTTTAATAAGTTTAACATTTGGGAAAGTGTACTCAGTGTGGCTGTCGGCCCTTGGACAGGTACAGAAGAGCTGGTTACTCCCCTCTCCCACAAGCAGTCACCCTGATGAAGGCCACACGGGCCAGCTCAGAGGGACCACCCGCCTGGCTCCTGCACCAGGCCTCTTGGAAGTAGGCACCTGCAGAGCTCCATTTCTTCCACATTCCTTGGACCAGAGGTGCCACACCTGCCCTCCTCCTGCCTCCCAGTCCGCACAGCAGCCTCTCAGCATTCCCTGACACTCTTCATCGTCCACAGAGAAGTCGAACTGCTGCTTTCAAATGGCCTCAATGAAATGAGAGTGCAGTGGCCCCGAAGTGGCCTGTTACACCATTCTGGGAGCAGTAAGAGTCCTCACACCATGGCCCCACACGGCAGCAAGTCTACGGGGACCAGGATGCCATCCCAGCAGGGTCCACTGGGCCCAGGGCCAGGACTGTGTGTGTGCTGGGGGAGGGTGGACTCCATTCTCTCTTCTCCAAGGCAGGCTGCTCATTTTCCTCCTGCCTGTTCTGCTAAGATTGAGCCTGTGCTAGCCAGTGACTCCAGGGCACCTGCCATACAGAAACATCCCCCAAACCCAGGCGCCAGGCAGAGCTGACCCAGGTGAGGCTCCCCAGCCCCCAGCTGGCAACAGCAAACCACCTGGGGTCAAGCAATGCTAACAGTCCATTCCCTTTCTCCTGGAGAGTACAAGTTTCACACACCTCTTAAGTGGAGTCTCCAAAGTCCCCAATCCCAAAACATAACACACAAACAGGAGTGTAGTAAAGCTGTCCAATGCCTAAGTTTGGGGTAGTTTTGTTTTTTGGTGTAGTACCTGGTATTGAACCCAAACAGCACTCAGCTACATCCCTAGCCCCTGATTATTCTGAGTTGTAGTCTTGCCAAACTGCCCAGGCTGAGCTTGAACTTATGATTCTCCTGCCTCAGCCTCCTAGGGTGCTAGGATGATAGGCATGCACCACCACACCTGGTTTCATAAGTATCTTTTTGTATCTCTGAATATAGAAAGTTAGAAATATTAAGACTATTCAAAATAAATTCTAGAAGTTATCTTGATTCAATCAAACAAGTATAATTTTCAAGTTATCACAAAATTTCCCACAAAAATTTACAATCAGCAAAATATTTTTCATTTTTCATGTAGCATTTTCATACAATTTCATGGTTTCATTAATATATGTTACAATAAGCCTTCATTAGTCCCTCAAAATGATGATATAAATAGTCTGTACAACCTACCATAGAAAACAAAATGAAGCCAAGGTTCCCAATGATTTCATAGCAGCCGGGCACACTTTTGGTGACCCCAACAAGAACCCTCTCATGCAAGCTGGGAGCCATGCGTCTTTCCAGAAGCAGGGCCTCCTGCAGCCCCGGCAGAAAGAGCAAGGCCCCGGGCCCCCACGCCTGCAGCACCTCCAGGCGAGCCTGAGGGAGGCAGGGAACCCTCAGTCCTTGACCACTGGGGAGACTAGGGTGCTAGGACCCCTGGGCTGTCTGCACCCCCCAGCAACTCAGAGAGCTACGGCTCTGCGTCCAGCTTCGACAGCAGCAATTTCAGGTAGGAAAGAATGCCTCATCTCCCCCTAGAGTTAAAAATAAATTCATAAAGCAAAACTAAAAGTCAATGCTCATGTGAGTGGTGTCCATCCTGACCTGAGACTCGTGCTCCCTACTGACCTTTCAGGAGCCGTGGGCTTCGGCACCTCCACAGGGACCCTGAGTCTACACCACTCAGAATCAACATCCAAACCAACCCCTGGTCACTCAGCAGCAGGGACCCACCCAAAACCTGTGGTGATTTGCAGCTTGCACTAAAAAGGTGACCAGTAACAGCTGAGAAAGTTCCAGTAGTATCCATGTTTTCTCCAAAGTCCAAACTCTAAGATGCTCATGACAATTCAAGTTTTCTATATCAGGAATCTGGTAGTAGGAGATCCAAACCTGGTGTCTTATAATAAGGCTTTTCGCATTAGAGAGTTAGACACAAGCCCTGGTTGGAAGGAAGAACCACCCAGGATGTCTTCCCAGGGCTTAACGGACACTTCATTTTAAGAACATGAGTGGCTTCCTGGGACGTGACACTCACATCCTACATTCCTTGTCCTGGAAGATGTTTCTAGTGCTCTTCAATTTCATATCTCCAGAGGCAATCTCACCTCAACAAGGGTTAAAAGCAAAACATTCACAGCCAAAAGTTATCCAACACAACAGAAAACAGTTCTATCATTCAGCTTTCACATTCAAGTTTCAAAGACACCGCAGGGGGAAAGTTAGACCTTATGGAGAACTAATGTGCAATCTTCACTCTCCTTGAACCGAGTCGACATGACAGTGTCATCTTTGGCATGCACAGTCTTTGAGTAATAGTTGACTATCTTGGCATCTAGTTTGTACTGGTGAGGGATGCTCTCATATGGCTTGAGGTCCAGGTCCAGCACAGACACAGAGAAGGCCAGCCGGGACCTTGAGGAGGGGACGACGAGCCTCTGATCAGAGCTGCAAGGCAGAAAGCAATTTCAGAATACAGACCTTCCACATGCTCTCACACCAGCTCACAAGGAGTGCTCAGTCTGTGCGTCTGGGTGCACTTTGTTCGTGTCTCTGTCAGGCGGATGCACTAACATGTGAAGCCTCTGCCGGGTGACTGCCTACTGTGACACAGGCCAACACACCGCTCCACACTCGGCCACAGGGCTGAGGACTGCACGACGGAAACGCCATTATGGAGAATGCGAGAGCGATATTCCCCATAGCCCAGCAGTCTAAATGAAATGTTGAAAGTCACTTTATCCTGAGCCAAGGATTACAAAACCTTTAAGAAAAAGTAAAAAAGGAGATCTGACTATTTGACAGCCAAGTGGATGAATGCTGAGAACAGACTTCTCTTTATTTGCCTTTCCCATGTCTGCTAAGAAATACAGACTCCTTTATGCTTTTCACATCTGGAAAGAGATCTAGTTTCGTATTTCACTCTCTAACCCTATCTTTGGTGCTTTGTATTTTGTTTCTCAGGACTGTTTTGTAGCCTTTATAAACATCAGAATTGTCATGTGCTTATAATAAAATAGGAACACTTGTACATAAAAACACTTTCAGTATTAACTCAGAATCTGGTGCTGAGATGGCTATGTAGTCCACCTGGCTAAGAGAACTCAGCACACAGCATTCAAAAGAGTAGCTAAGTGAATTATAAACTCAGTTTGGCCCAAAAGAAGTGTTCTGGGGTTCCGGCTTCTCCATGCTTACTACTGTTCTCAATTTGGAAATCATTAAAAACAAAATAAGATACTACTTTCAAAGGCCTAAGAGAGAGCCTGCTCTGAGAATGCTAATCAAGGCCTCAATTCTAATTCCAGAATCCTGTTTATAGGAAAAAATGAATCCTAACTCAGTTGCTGGGATCATTACTCTCTCCTAAATAGTAGAGAACAGCAAATCAGCCATGCACAAATCAATGCCTTGAGTCTCACTTTGGAAGCTGGAGGGGGCCTGCAGCTCACCCTGACCAGCCCTAAGTTTCCCAGAGAACTGCTGCAAGCCCAAGGCACCATGTAGTCCTGGTGCCTGAAACTTGGGCCCAATGCACCTGGGCTGGGACAGCCCACCTTCCTGGACCAGTACAAGGGCTATGGATTTTATAGGACACCTCAGTTTCTTGGTCATAAGCAGCACCCAACAAGATGACACACAAAATCAGAAAGGATTTTCCAAGCAGTGCCTATGGACTCTGACCATCTGGTCGACCCAACCAGATGCTCCATGTGACTCAAAGTCAGGGGCCAGCAGGCACCAGCCCCTCCCACCAAGGTGGGAGGTGCTTATCTGTCCCTCAGCATCCCCAGGCTGAGACTAAGCAAGAGGCTCCTGGGGACACACAACCCTCCTATCATGCCCAAGGTCCCTCTGGGAGCCTAGACATTGGGGCTGGAAGGACTTGTGGCTGCAAGGGAGCTGGCCTTGCCTGAACAGCTGTTCTCTGGGGCACTGACCAGCAGGGAGGCTGGCCAGGGGAACAGGCAGAGAAGGCAAGGCTGCCCACACTGTTTAAAATAGGCAATCAAGAGCAACAGCAGCAGAAATCAGGGAAGGGAGTCATGGTCAGCTCTCCCTGTGGTTCCAAAATCCCAAAACATCTACAGCAACAGGAACATAAACTTCAGACCTCGGTTATGACAGGAGAAATAGCAGTGTTGGAAAAGCCTTCGCTTGAGGCAGAAAGTTTAAAATAGTCAACTTGTCTGCGAGCTGTAAAAGGCTTAAAATTTCATCTCATGGATCTAAAGATGATCAAGATGAACCTCACCCTAAGTTTGTCTCTGGGTTTCCTGAATGCCACAGCCAGACCAAGTAGAGGCACTGAACACCTTCCTCAAAGGCGGCAGCCAGTGAGGCTCATACAGAGGCTGACTTGGATCCCCTGCACAGATGCACAAGGGCAGCAGTGGGGAAGTCTTTGAGGGTCTGCTCCCCTTGCTTCCTGCCACCCCTCCCACAACCCCTTCAGAACTTCAGGGTCTCCCACCCATACCTCCTTTAACTTGGTTACAGAATCCTAACTTCCCCCAAATCTAAGATTTTTATAACACAAAGCTTATGATATTAAAACTAAAATAAGTAAATGAATGTTATAAACACTGAAAATGCTATTATGCATCTTTCCTTTGTCTTTATTTTTTTACCTCCTACCTTTAAGTATAATTCATGCTTATCAGTACTTTTTTAAAAAAGCAGTGCTAGGATGGAAGTCAGAACCTGGTGCAGGCTAAGCAGACCCTTTCCACTGAGCTACAGCCCAGCTCTAGCAGTACATTTCTTACTGCACCATGAAATTAACTCCTGAACTTGGTGAAACAGCTCAGGATGAACTCTTAAAAGACAAATGGAACACAATGTTATAAATTTAATAAGCACATAGCTGTACCATAATTCAACC